AAGCTCAGGGTGACTGGTGCTGAGAGGCCATGGCAGAAATCAGGCTATGAGAGTGTGTGAGTGTGTGTGTTTGCCTCATGGAGGGCTCAGAAAAGATTACCTGATCTGATATATCCCAGGGTGATTCTTAGCAGCTAGAGGCCAGAATTTAACCCTTGGGTGGTAGCAAGGAGGGAATGCTTTTGCAATCCACAGAATGTGTTTGCAGCAAATCTAAGGGCAAGAGGTTCAGGGTGTTGATGAAGGAGTCCCTGTCCCTTGTAGCCTCAGAGAGCAACGCGACCAGATCATTCTTTAATATTCTCTGACACCATCTCTCATCACTCTTGGTCTTTTACCTCCTCCTTGCCAACAGCTTTCTTTTTTGCCTCAGTTTTTTGAAACAAGCTTGTTCCTGTACACTGACTCTCCGCCCAGTGAAGACCACACCTCGGAGGATGACTTGTGGCTCCTACCCTGCCTTCCTTGTGGTCTCTCTTTGGATGCCCTCTTTCTGCTGGTTTTCCCTGCATTGCTGTAAAAGAATGACTACCCCTCTGCTCTTTCTTTTTCCCATCACCATGGGACTTATTAGGTGATTTTAAACATTTTTGCTTATGTTCTTTCCCTGTCTTTGGATAATGGGGACTTCTGTGTTTTAACTCATACAGATTATGGATCCAATGCTTGGAACATACTTGGTACTCAGTAACTAGTTATTGCTTTATTTTTAATTGACATATAATTATACAAGTTCACAAAATAACTTTATATTTACATATACTTATAAATTGTTTAATAATTGAACAAGTATGATTGGCTTAATTTTCTGAAACATTTATCATTTCTCTGTGACAAATATTCAAATTCCTCACCTCTACCTATTTAAAAATAGGTAACATACTATTTTTAACTATAATTACCCTACTGTGCAATACATCAAAAGAAGCTTTCCCCTTCTCTTACTGTAATTGTTTCCCCTTGAGGGGCTTCTCCTCATTCCTTTGGGCCCAAAATGCACCTCAGCTTCTGGTGACCATCATGCTATGCTGRCATTCTGTGAGATCAAATTTCTCAGAATCCACACAGGAATGATATCATGCAGCTTTAGTGTTCCTGTACCTGGTTTTTAAACTTCCTAAATCTCCCYAGGTTCATCTATGTTGTCTCCAATGATAAGATTCATCATTTTATTAATAGCAGAATATTATTCTGCTGTGTATCTGTACCACTTACAAATGGCCAATAGTCATCTGAAATATGCTCAAAATTGCTAATAATCTGGGAAATGCTAATCAAAGCCTAACTCCAGTTGGAAAGGCTATTATCAAAATGACCAAGGATATCAAGGGCCAGTGAGTATGTGGAGAAAAAAGAAATCCTGACCTAGAGTTGGCAGGAATGCAAGTTAATGGAGTCATTATGGAAAACAAGGGGAGAATCCACAAAATTAAAAATACAGTTATCACTTGATGCAGCAATCCTACTACTGGGTGTGTGGCCAAAAAAATGAAATGGGTATTTTGAAGAGGTCTGCCCTTCCACATTGACTGATGCACAATTCACTGTAGCCAAGACACAGAAACAACCAAAGTCTTCATGAGGGGGGCTAATTCATACTTCTCAAAGGCCTGAGTAACTTTCTCTTTAGAATTCTGAAATACACGACTTCCTAGTGAAAACTTGAGAATGAAACAGGAATTCCTCATCAGAGGTGGCACAGGATCCCTTAGGGGACAAGAGCCACACATGTTCTGTAGAAAATGATTTCATTCCTTTCCCTTGGCTTTTCTTTTTTCTTTTTTGAGGTATATGGATGGTAACGTGGGCCTTGCATATATTAGGCAGCCACACCAACACTGAGCTATACACCCATCACTAAAATTAATGTTTTTACACCAAAATATGTATTGTTTCATTTCATTGTTTATTACCTGTCTGTAAAAATTTGTTATGCTCTTTTTCTCATTTCTGGTAGACACATGCATATGGAACCAGAGAATGATACTCAACATTTAGAATTCCTTCTTCTGGGACTTGCAGAGGATCCAGAACTACAGCCCCTCATCTTTGGCCTTTTCCTCTCCATGTACCTGGTCACTGTGCTGGGGAACCTGCTCATCATCCTGGCCACTATCTCAGACTCCCACCTGCACACACCCATGTACTACTTCCTCTCCAACCTCTCCTTTGTGGACATCTGTTTCACCTCCACTACAATCCCCAAGATGCTGGTGAACATCCAGACACAGAGCAAGGCAATTACCTATGCAGGTTGCATCACTCAGATTCACTTTTTTGTACTCTTTACTGGGTTGGATGATTTCCTTTTGACTGTGATGGCCTACGACCGGTTTGTGGCCATCTGTCACCCCCTGCACTACATGGTCATCATGAACTGCAGGCTCTGTGGATTKCTAGTTCTGATGTCCTGGGTTGTGAGTGTCTTACATGCATTTTTACAAAGCTTAATGATATTGCGTCTGTCCTTCTGCACAGA